AGATAGATAGATAGATAGATAGATAGACAGACAGATAGATAGACAGATATATATATAGAGAGAGAGAGACAGAAAGATAGATAGACAGATATATAGATAGATAGATAGATAGATAGACAGATAGATAGATAGATAATTGTGTAATTAGTTTTTAATTTATGGAATTAGGCAATATTATGTAAGTCAAAACGCGTGTGAGTGGGCCTAAATTCTAAATAGGCCATCAGTCAATGAGTTGGACGCACGAAGTTAATATCTGACTCACTGGTTCATGTCTGCGAGAAGTAAAACCCGTTAGATAGTGATATTTTGATATACACATCATGTTCCTGTGTAACGAGAGCCGATTTTCAGCCTATTTCGCCCGTACATTTTGAAAACAGATAGATTGACATGGAAAATGACATATCTGTCATATTCCATTTCTCGTATAAAAACAGAACGAACGTGAGACACAGTTGTCACGTTATGGCAGTGTGAAAATCATCAGCGCTGTGCCCACAGTTTGCAGTGTCTGTCATGCCGCAGGACGAAGTTTATATACGCGGTAGATGCGGGGACTCGGCGAGACAAGTGGGTGTTCATTTCGTGCTCTGGTTCCTTTGTTCCTGGTGGCGACGTCTTCCATTTCCTGTCCCCTCCGTTGCGTGTGGGCGAGTTTAATCAAGCGAGCAAGAAAGACTACGCGGCCTCGCATTCGGTATTTCACATTCCAATTTACTTTTCAATAATTTTCAATTTCAGCATGACGACCGGACAATCAGTTCCACAGCACATCAAATTATTCATTTCCAGAAACAGCACGAAAAGATTTATTTTGAATAGTTTACCCTCAAACTCAAGTCAAAAATAAAAGAGGAATCGAATTCAAAAACAAGGTCATTACAAACACAATACTGCGAATTTAAGACGCCGCAGACATCTCATCTTTTGAAGTAACGTATCAAAGGTTAAACCTGTTCTCGAAAATCGCCTGAGGGTTAAAGCATCGACAAAGAGGAGAGCAAAAATAAATAAGGATGAAGGGAAATGAAAGAAAACAAAAGAAGAACGAAACAAAGAGAGAGAGGGCCCGTAGTATACTGATCAACGGCAAAAACTTAGAGGCATACTGGTTCAATGATGGATCGCTGTTTCGAAGAATTATATTAAACCATAAATTCAACATCTGTAACAGCATAAGAAGGGAAAGAACTGCGGTTGTAACAGACGAAGCAACTTCACGGAATTCTAGGGACTGTATTGTGTTAGTTCCTGTTTCTGCCGCATGAACTGAGCTTTCAATCGAAAAATAACTACACGGACAGCAGATCTTAATTATAATTGGAGCACACAAAAACGGAGGAACTGATCCCTCATGAAATTTGTACCCTTTTTTGTGAAAGAAAGAGGTTGTTTATCGTTAATCTACGTAGAGGAAATAAATTACCGTGAAATGGCTTTAAGCACAATGCTACAGTTTTTAGCAAATACTACTTGCTACTTTATCTTGCAGGCTAATGAATTTCCCGGATCAATTCGTAGATACATTAAAGACTCTTTACTAGGTTAGTCGATTATTTGCCTACGAAAAGAAAATTACTAATGGTGGATTGGAAACTCTTAGTGAAGAAGAGATCCTGGCCTGACTGAAGGTTCCCTACTGGGTTTAGAGTTACAAGAATGGGGAACATCGTGAGATACATCAGTCAGCACAGGGGGTGGACAGGACGAAATTTAAGTCAGGGCAATGAACTGGCAGGACGGAATTCCACCTGATGATATCTATAATACATACCGAGCTCCTTCCGTATGTGTCGAACTTTTCGAACGCAGTTTTATTACAGTACTAATGTGTTTCAGGATAAATATAATTTTTATTTTATTCACTAACTCAGGGCAACTAGGCCTTCGTTGAAATGTTAGTTGTGTATCATATTTTCAAGAAATTCAGAATTTAATAACTTTGTCGTATAAATCACATCATTATTCTCCATCCTGAATTATTAGTCTAAGTGTATATTAATTTTATACTGCTTATTTCATATCATCCCCCCCATACGTGTCTCCACCTTGTCGTGGTGGTGGTGCTTACGTGACTCTGTGACCTGGAGAGCTATGCCAGCGGTAGTTTACCCGCGTTGGAAAGGTCAAAGGGTAGAGTCCAGACTAAGAGAGATACCCTGGTCCTTCAGGTTGGGGGTTGAGCATGAGGCTAACAACCTCATCCTGTAAAAATAATTTTGTTCAGAAACCTAACAACCAGCCCCGTGTCATCATACGTGGGTCCATTCCTATGGCAGCAGGCACTGGTTGTGGAGACTGGTTGTAGGGGAGGCCAAAGATCAGCCAGGGCTGTAGCGCCGAGTGGCAGGTAGGTATTTCTTATCATACTTTCTGGATTCTAGGTTGTCAAAAATGTTTTAAGACGCAACATTGATTAAGTAATTAGGTTTTCAGGACAGACATTATCCATTGCAAGATTGCTTTAATAATACGTTTTCAAGAAACGCATACGTTACAGTAGGAAATGTCAATACTCAGGCATAAAAAGCGTTCGCATTAACAAACATAAATTAACATAAAACTGAAAAATAATTAAATAAAATAATACACTGTCTTCTTCTCTTGTTCATCCAGTCTCACACTCATATTCTACAGATTCTTCGAAGTCGCTTTGTAAATCAGGGCATCTATCAGAACGGTTTCACAATATCAATACCATCATCTGTGCAGCCAATTGCGTTTCTAACGCAGCATCTCTTGAATGACTTTGCATTGTTCTTCCGGCGATCTTCTTCCAAGAGACCGTTACCTGTTCTGCAGGTGTGAAGCAGATGCCCTCTTGTTCTCACCAGATGGTGTTAGTGGAAGGTTTCTCAGACGGAAACCAAGTCCTGTATTCCCAACTTAAATAACCTTTAAATAATTTATTAACCGAAATATCGAGTG